CTATAAAATGACTCATTTGGGAAAATATATTATGGATTGTTATGGAGAGAGAGAGAGAGAGAGAGAGAGAGAGAGTTTGGGATGAGAGGAACTGGAGGATCAGTGAGGAGTAGTAGCCCAGAGATGATTGCATTTGAAAATACTGGTCGAGGCCTCACGATATATAGTATGAAATGTTTGGCGAAAATGATTTCTTTCGCGTGTATTTTACTCTCGTTTTGCACAATAAATAACACAATAAATGTAATAAAAGCTGAAACGCAAAGAGCACCGGGAGGTTCAGTAGTGTTAGCACATGGAATGTGAGTGAGTGAGGCATCGAGTGAGTGATACAATTGTGGAGAGAGAGAGAGAGAGAGAGAGAGAGAGAGAGAGAGACTGATTGCCAGAAACACAAGAACCAAAAGTAACACAAACTGTTTGAACAGGAAATTGGAAAATAGTATACAATATATGAAACTTATATAAGAATATGAGTACAGAATTGTATACAACATATGATAATTTTCTGTACACTATTGGCAACATGTTGTATGAATAATGGCTAAAAATATACTATACAATCAGTAAATAATTCACAAAAAATAAATTTTATTGTGCAGTACAGAGTATATGGACCGAAAAAATCACTTTTGTTTTCAATACCAGATTTTGTTTTAGAGAAAATAGAAAGCGATATATAATGGGAGACATAGAAAACACACACAAACTATTCGCGCAATACTTTTATATTTAATTTTATTGTATTTTTTCGGCCGAGAGAGTGAAACAAATCTCTGACTCTTTTTGATGTCATTTACTGTTTTGATTGATTGCATCCAATTTCACGAGTAATGATAGCTCTCTCTCTCTCTCTCTCTCTCCACACTATTTCATTGTATTTTATGTATTATATTCGTGTGTATGTCGTGTGGTGTCTGTTATGGACCACTCAGTCATATGGACTAACACTCAAACAAAATTATAGCTACAATACTGGGCACTGGGGTAGTGAGGGGTAGGGGCTATCGGACTGGGTATTTATGTCCCAAATACTCGCTAATAAATACTACATGGCAAATATTTACATATTTAATATAATTTAGCAAATAACATTTATATACATGCCAAACTTATTACTATTTATCAAATAAAATAGCTAGTTTATTTTAATAGCAAACAAATATGCATTACGTGCATTAGTGTCAGACAAATAAATGTAAGATTTTATTAAACATTTCATATTATCTGATGAAAACTAGACAATAGTATTGGAGTCCTGTTTAAGACATGTATTATTATAATGTTATCTCTTTGGTGTGCAATTGACAGACACATCACCACAATCTGATCCCCACACGTTTGAAGTGCTTTGCAAACACTTATGGCTTACAAAAATATTTTCACTTATAATTTGATAATGTTTTACAACAAAAAATATTACTACACTCTGAGGTTTATTATTAAATAGTTAAAAGTTGTGAATTAAAGTAGATTCATTATGTTAACAAAAAAGGTTTATTATTAAACTATTCATTTGCAAATTATTAGTTAATATGATTTTAAAACTTTCATTATTTTCTACTTATGTGTTGATAAACCTTTGATTAATCTTTTAACTTAATTAAAATGTCAATGCCATTAGCTATGATTAAACTAATCCCGTTAATCAAAACTTTTATATTTTATTTAGCATTTAGTGAGTGAGTGAGTGAGTGAGAGAGAGAGAGAGAGAGAGAGAGAGAGAGAGACTACGAAAGGGAAAGTTCAATAAAATCAATGTTTTTGTCATGTATTTCAATAGACTTAACAAATGAATGATTTTTCGGACATTGATTTGTCTGATAAAGGGTTGCATTGAATACATGACACGAATATTCTGGTGTTATATTACTGGACATCACAACACAATAGCGTAGGAAATGGAGGGATTGAGGGATGGGATCAGTTTATACGGTAGAGTTGTCCGGACAACACACGGACCCATCGCACCGGCAGTAAACCATTTGAAATAATTCCCAAAAATGCAAATTTTATGCCAATTCTTATCATATGTACCGTTATTATAGATCTGATAATGGAATCATTCACTGAAAACTTATGGTCAGAATAAGTTACATAAAATATTCTAGATAACTTTTGAATTATATAATTTTTCACACTATCAATTGTTTTAAACTACTTATCCAGTGAAGTTTATTTTAGGAATTATATAAAATTGGTTTTAGAGATAATTTCTATTTAAAAGTTTTTTGATTATAATTTATACATTAAATACTATTTACTATATTTGTTATTATACAACCCTAACCCAATTAAACAAGGCCTTACATTAAAGTATTATATTTTGGTAGTGAATGTGAATTAATGTGAATAATGGCCTATCGGTCGGTCAGTTTGGGTATAGGGACAGGGATTAGGGCTTAACTCTTAACTCTTGGCATCGCTTATATAAATCACTATTAGTTTCAGTTGTCATTCAATTGCAAACTCATTGTCCGTACAGTTAATGCATTCAATGGTCACTACTTATTATGTTTTTAGCATTTTGTTAGCAACCCTTCTCTCTCTCTCTCTCTCTCTCTCTCTCTCTCACCCGTTGATGAGATAGTTATCGCACCGATAGGGTCTGGTATTGTAACCCCAGTGACAGACATACTGAGCTAATGAAATGCAAATCAAATTTAACATAACAAACACACTAATCGATAACATAAGGCAATCAATAGTTTGGTTTATTGTAGTTTTAATTATTACTAAAATATTTCTGTTTTTATTTTTTAATAAAAGATTTTAAACACAAATATTTATACAATATTTATCATTTTGCTTGTTATACGTAGCTTAATCATTATATTTTTATTTGTACCCTACATTGATTTCATTTAAAATAGGCATATAATGAATCATAAAATAATTGTTTATATTAAAATGTGAGACTCATTGAAAAGTTATTTCAGTTCATAACGAGTTAATTATTATAATGTAAATATTTTTTATCAGTGACTATAAACTGTAAACACATTATTAAATTAAGAATTCAAAATTATACTGTATTTAGAAATTATAACTAGCGTGCTAACTAAATTTCATTTAACCCACAATAAGTTATACCCTTATATTTATTAATTGTACTAGTATAAAAGTACAGGATATTGTATATTACATTACACTGTAATGATTACATTGCTTGCTAATTTTTGATTATTTAAAAATATTTTAATAGATCCTTGACTAGTCTATGAGAATATAAGGTTAAAACTATTGGGAGTACTGCCTAATGACACTATGTATGCCATCTACAATTCAGGCAAACTTTTTAAGCATTTTTATACTTGTATTGAAATAAGCTGTGGCAAATATTATATAATTTTAATAATATTAGCAGTGTAGTATAAAATATTTTCCTATTAATATAAATATTTAGTTCATTAATATAAGTTGTAATAAATATAATTTATTGAAGCTACATAATTAGCGGTAAAATTATTGTACTGTTATGCATACTTATGTAGGGTTACTGTATAACTTTATAACTATTTTTATTGTGCTATTAATTTTATTGCCAAAAATAAAATTGATTATTTTAAGATAAAATTTATTTTAAAAACACTTTTCTAAACATTAAATGCCCAAAATATCTGCTTGCTAAATTAGCAATGCTAATTGTTTTTAGCTACAGTACATACTATGTTAAAGTAGAAAATGTTTAGAGCATTGCCTTATAGTCCTCTGTATGCCATCTATTATGCAATTCATACTTTTGAAAGCATTGACACAACTTTTAAAACTTTCATTTAGTGGGAACAGTAGTTTACTTTATTTAATAGTTTAATAGCACCAGGATAATAGTCCCTAACATAATTGCACATTATATCAGAAATATTTTTAGTATAGAAGTTCATAATTTATCTCATAAAATCGTAATCTAAATTGCTTATGAATTTGTGACTAATCTAAATGACTATGCTAAATTCATTAAACCTTGATTACAGTATTGTATGAACATATTTTATAAATTGCGCCCACACATATATAATAATAAACACTTGAGTTTATCCACGGTGATTTAAATCCGTAAACAAATAGTGATTAATAGCTTTTTATAACCGTTTGAAAAAACGCTGATAAAACACATGTTATTTACTGTTATATAATAGATAATGATTTTTAGATATAACTATTAATAGGGAAGGGGTGGTTAGGGAACGGCATGAAAAATCAATAATTATCATAATAATTAATAATTTACAGAATTAATTTTTATACATTGAAAAATACTAAAAAGTAACTTGTCAAATAATTTTTGTTTAATTATAGCTATGCAAGAATTAAACTAATTTTGTATTTAATATAGGGGTCGACCACTTGCACCTCTCCCCTACAATAATTTCATATACCTTTTGGAAACACTACACACATTGAGTATTGCATTGAATGATAGCAACCATAGAGAGAAACTGGAGATAAAAAAAGTTTGACTCAAACCATGAGATAACAAAAAATTCATAAATGTTTAGTAAATATAAGGTATGAGACAAAAAGTTCATTAGAAATGCTATTGAATTACAATTATATGGAAATTATTTCTGCGAAACAAAAGCTCATAAATCTTTTGGTTGTTTAGTCTATTGACTAGTAAATGAAATTCAGTGATGATTGAAATGTGTGACACTTTTTACGTCTAGTATTTCATTAAAAGTTTTGTAGTTTTTTCGTATGAATTGTGACTTTAGTTAAGTTAAGAGACTTTTCGCTTGAAAAACGTGTATTTATCTCAATGTCTACTCCTATTGTATGGCAAAGTCATTGACATCTAATTCATAGATGAGTTGCGGATTCAGTGTATGTTTTTGAGACAATTATCAGTCAAACAAACAGTGATATTGTGTTTAGTTTTCAGACCACAAACTTTCCGATAGTTTTACATTCAATAGTAAAACATGTCTTAACTGTAAAGCAAACACAACTGAAAAACTAATCAAAAAGTGATTCAAAAGCTTAACTAAAACTTACCAAAAATGTCATCAAATCTGTGGACATGTATTAACTGTACGCTAATTAACACGAGTAGTGATTATTATTGCAAAGCCTGCGGAAGGCGCCAACGCCGCGGCACCGGTACTTCAAATGGTGTCCAGTATTACACGCCTACTATTACTCCACCCCCTCGACCACCGGTGCCTAAGGGGAACTGGACGTGCAGTCGGTGTACGCTAAGCAACCCTATCACCAGCGACAGGTGCGCCGTGTGTTTTCTGCATAGACTGGACAGTCGCTCGCATACCGGCCCCCAAAATGGTGTTACTATTAATGGCCATACGAATGGGTCAACCGTAGGACTCCTTATGAATACGCTTACGATTAATGACCAGAGGGTGAGGGCCGGTAGCAAAAGTGGTTGGACTTGTCATGTGTGCACATATCAGAACCCGAACACCATTACCATCAGGTGCCAGATGTGTCAAACAGCTAAGAGAACTGTAGCTCAAGCAGCACCTGTAGTAAATATAGCTCCGGTAGCTCCAGTGACTCCAGTAGCTTCTGTAGTGACTCCAAGTAAGCCTCCAAAAGTGAAACACCAGTCAACGCCTAAACCCACGAGACATACCGTTCCCTCCAGTTCCCACAATAGCCTTAAGCGATATAAGTCTATATTCAACGAGACGTTACATAAGAATGAGGAACGGGAGGCCAGACAGCAATGGCAACGGATAGTTACCTACTGTCGTAGATATCGCATCAATTTCGTGGACGACTCCTTCCCACCCATACCTAAGTCCCTATATTATAGAAACAGCGCACTGGTAGCCAAAACCGGTAACCCTGTCACCCAATGGCTCAGACCTGATATGATAATCAGCGATAACAGCTATACTACCGGCGCTCACAAGTGGTCAGTGTTTCAGACCCCGCAGGCGTCGGACATATCTCAAGGAGTTTTGGGTAACTGTTGGCTACTGTCGGCGCTGGCAGTGTTGGCTGAGCGCCCGGAGCTCGTCAAAAAGGTAGTCATCACACGGGATGTCTGTCCCGAGGGTGCCTATCAGGTACACCTGTGCCGGGATGGCAAATGGATTACCGTCTTGATCGACGATCTCTTACCGTGCGATTCACACCGGCGTCTCGTCTACTCCCAGGCCAAGCACCGGCAGCTATGGGTGCCGTTCATCGAGAAAGCCGTCGCCAAAATGTACGGCTGTTACGAAGCACTGGTATCCGGTCGGGCGGTGGAGGGGCTGTCCATATTGACCGGCGCTCCCTGTGATACCCTGGAGTTGGAAAGGGATGTCAACTCTAATGAACCGATAGATGAGGACCTGATTTGGGCTCAACTGTTGAGCTCACGAATGGCCGGCTTTTTGATGGGCGCCTCTTGTGGTGGCGGCGCTCACAATGTCTACACCGACAGCGCCTACCAGTCCGTGGGGTTGAGGCCACGACACGCCTACTCTATACTAGACGTGCAAAACATCGGTGCCTTACGGCTGGTGCGGTTACGCAACCCTTGGGGTCGGTTCTCATGGAAGGGCGACTGGTCTGATGGGTCGACCCTCTGGAACCCTGCCCTTCGGCACCAACTGATGCCTGACAGCGGAGGGGACGGTGTGTTTTGGATGTCGTTTCGCGATGTCATCAAATACTTTGACTCAATAGACATCTGTAAAGTGCGGTCCAATTGGAATGAGTGTAGAATTTCGGGTGTCTTTCCTCCCAGAGCTGGTGACCCGACCCACCAGACAGTGATTGTGGTGACAGTGACTGAGGCGACGGAAGTGGAGCTCTGTGTCTACCAGTCCGGCCACAGGTCTCAAGAGTCCGTCAGATCTAAATTGGATTTATTTGTGTCGGTGTACGCCTTCAACGGACTGGTAGGTCGACTGATAGGGCACAGTAAGCGACAGGTGAAGAGTTTCGTGTCCTGTCATCAGATACTGGAGCCCGGGATCTACGCTATCGTTCCCCTGGCCTTCAATCACTGGCATACGAGTCAGTCATACATTCAGTGATATCCAGAATATTCTGTAATTAATGTGTTTTCAATTAATAGGCATTCAGACCACAGAATATCCGGAATATACACTCGCTATTCATAGCTCTAAACCTATGCTCACGGAAAAGGTGTGTCCGCCCAGACATATCATAGCCGACACTGTCATAGGGTTAGCCGTGGCAGAGGGTAGGCGCCATGAGGTATGTCCTTAAAAAATATTTTAATAGTTTAGTGAAATGTTTAAAAAAATATTTCATTTGTAGTGCAATGAAGGCGTTACCGCTTATTACTTAACCAAACACTGGTCAGGACTGGTAGTGGTGTTGGAGAACCGGCACCCAAACAGTTACCTACAAGTGATCTGCAATTGTGTGGACAGTGTTAACGTCGTGTCCACCAGAGCTACGTTGAAAACTGTCGATACTATACCCCCTCTGCACAGGTATGCAAACTATTTAACATAAAATACCACTAAATTCTGTAACTATTTATTAATTGTTTTAATTTTTTTGTATGAATTTCTAAATATTAGGCAAATAGTGATTGTCTTAACACAGTTGGAGGGAACGGGCGGTATAGTCATCCACTATCAGCTCACTCACCGAGTGTCACACACTCGGGGACTGGCAGATTGGAGTACTAAAGGTACCGGTGCTGGTGATTACAATGGCCGGGACTGCGAACATATACCAGCCCTCGACCAGTCTGTTAGTGAACTCCATTCCCCTCGTCCTCTATAACATTTGAATTCAAATATAATTTAATTAAAATAAACTTTTTTACGGAAATATTGTGATTTTTATTACTGTAATACATTATACTATTATACTGTATTATTATTTAATATTCAATACTACAATAATGTTCACTAAATAATTCAATAATACTAGTTTTCATTAATTAAAGCAGTCTCATGCCCTGATACTTTATTGCATGAAATACTGTATCACTAAATTGATTATCGCGCGAATCAATACTTTTCAACAGAAATCAATATAAAAATCAGTTAATAAACAAAATCACATATATTTGACAGCATTTGATACCATCCCGTGATTTCTGCGAAACCATAGCTCATTAGCCATTAACACACATATACCGATGGCTACAAAAGTTATCGATGACTTGCCGGATGACTTGTTGGCCATCATATTCTCTAAACTAGAATTCCGGTCAGTACTCACCATTCAGACCGTATGCGCACATTGGTTATATGTATCCAAAGAGGGCTTCAGCAAAGTGACCACAGTTTTGGTGAAAGACAGACACAATATTGAGTCATTATATTATGGTCAGCAAATTCTCAGAGAGCCCATAGGATTCAATGATCTCAGCAACAAATGTGTGATACATTTGCGTCGATACATAGGAGGCAATGAACAGACATTCCGGTCGATGCTCACCAAAATCGGGGCAATGTTTCCCGATTTAAAACGCCTTTTCATTCGTCACTTTTACCTTTTCATGGAAAAAGATGTCATCCTATCGATCGTCCAGAGCTGTGTCCTCGACCTCCAGAGCCTGTCGATCATATGTGGTGATAGTAATGTAATGCTTAGCAAAGTCGAGGCTCAACTACTAAGCCAGTCGTACCCAAACATCCGGGTCTTGCAGTTGGAGTCACAAAACCTAATCATAGAGCAGTCGACCATCGATGAACTCCTCCAGAATCTACCAAAACTGGAAGTGTTTGCACTGAACGACACATTTTGTCACCTTATGGCAAACAGTCCCGTATACAATGGCACAGTATTACGACACATGAGCACCGGTATTACAATCCTAAAAACCACTGGCAATCTGTTCACACCCGAAGTCTTACAAGGCATGGCTCGCAGACCATATCATCGATTACGGGAACTAATGGTACATCAGTTCGACATCAAATCTATGGCCCTAATCGCCCAACACTTCCAGTCCATTGAGTCGCTTACTATTGAGTTTGGCCCACACAAGTGGTGCAGAAGTTATAATGAATTTATTTGTTTGAATTAATTGTTTGTTTTGACTTTTTTGTGGCTTTAATTGAAAACTTCCAATAAATATATATTTAAAACTTATAAAATGTTTTATCTATTTTAGATTTGCTTTAATACTGTTGCTATGATTTATAAATCATTTTATAATGTATATGTAATATACCGTAACGTAAAAAATAATTCAATAAATAGTACAGTATTTGACAATTCATTTCATTTTCTTTTACGATATATTGATTATGAATAGCTATATGAATGACACAAATATGTGTTATTCTCTTAAGTCATTTCCTTTAATAATGAGATTTTTCTCGTATAA